GGCCCGGCTAATTTGCATAGATCGCCGGGACGCCGCGCCCCGGGCTGCAAAGCTGGTACCCGCGGCCGTGGGGTGCAAAGCCTCCCTAGGATACCAGATGGGGTGGCCCGGAGTGAGGTGTCACTCTTCTGACGCAGCTTCTTCCGGACCCAGTCTGCGTCCCCATCCGCCTCCTCCCTATAGCAGACCTACTGCTTTCTTCCCAGACTTAATCAGGCAGCAGAGCTTCCAGGGCCAGCAAGGGCGTGCTGTCAGGTACTGGGCGGTGTCTTCTTCTAATTATTTTTTTGGGGGTGGGAGTGTGGGGGAGAGGTTTTTGGTATAGGGCGCGTGCACTCGCCAGAGAGACAGAAAACGAGAAATCACCCCCCAGGGGGTACGGCCACACCGCAATCCCTTCTCCTCCATTCTCTCGGGATCTTGGACATGCACGCACAGGAGGCCTGCGTGAGTTTAAGTCACTGGGTCCGGGACTCGAACCACGGTCGACTACATGGGAGTCCAGCGACATAGCCATTACGCTCCTTAAACTGATAGTGCTGCTTCCAGATCTTTCTTAGAATCTCTGCCTTCGAGTCCTGGAGCCACTGGGGGGGCCCCTCCCTGCTAGGTGAGGCTGGGTGGAGGGGACAGGAACTGGCCTGGCTCCTGCCATTCAGAGGCAGCGCCGGCTCCACGCCTGGATTATGAGGGCTCACCGTTGATGTTTGGTGAAGTGAATGAACTTGTTCAAACACAACTGGTTCGTGTGAGTCAGGCTTCTGAGAGTCTAATTCACAAGCCAGAGTTGGCTGGAAGTGGTGACTTCAAACCTTCAAGTCCACTTGAACCCGGCAGTCGGCCATGCGGGATTCAGCCCCCTTAAACCACCACCTGGCTGGCCCTTCGGTAACTTTTTTTTCTTAGGTTTTTGCCAGAAGTAACAGTAGGCTCACCAGAGAGAGATGGAGACAGAGAGGGAGAGTGAGAAAAGTCCCCCAAGGGGAATGGCCACACCACAACCCCTTCTCCTCCACTCTCTTGGGATTTGGGGCACACATGCTTCTGGGATGATTTACAGTCTCTGTCAGCCATGTGGGAGTCTAGCACCGTATCACTTAGTCACTTGTTGGCCTGCCCTTGGATAACTTTTGAACCACCATCAATTTTTTTAAAATATAATTATTTTATTTTATTTATTCATTCATTTATTTTAATTTGACCAGAGAGAGAGAGAAAGAGTGAGAAAGCAAGCTGCCAGGTCCGGGACTTGAACCGTCGTTGGCCATGTGGGAGTGTCCAGCACCTTAACCACCACGCCACCTGCTGGTACCTCAATTTTTTTTTTCTTTAAGGAGAGATTTTTGCCAGGCCGGCAGGTGGCGTAATGGTTAAGAGCACTGGACTCTGGGACCAGCAGTTAGCATAATGGCCACGAGCAGGGATTGCGGCGTGGCCATCGCCCCTGGGGGGTGATTTCTCACTCTCTGTCTCTCAGTCTCTGTCTTTCTGGTGAGCACATGTGCCCTATAGCAAAAACCCCTCCAAAAAAATTTTATTTTTGCCATAGGTTCCGTGAAGAAGGAAAGTGAGAAATGACGCCGCGGGAAGATGGCCACTTCAGCCCCTTCTCCTCCGTTCTCCATGTAGGATGTGGGACACACACACGAGCCTGATGTTTTTTGAGAGCAGTTTCCGCCATACAATATGTGTGCTCCTGGAGAGAGAGGAAGCAAGAAACCCCCAAGGGAGAGGGCCTCACCGCAATCCCTTCATTCACCCCAGTATTTGGGGCACATATGCACACATGCCAGGCATGTTTCAAACCACCGGATCCAGGACTACAAACCAGCGCCTTAACCACCATGCCACTGCCTGCCCTCACCCCCGTTCCCTTTCTAATTACGTGAACTCTTTCTTCTGTACCCGCCCTTCACATGCCCCACACGGAGAGGTACCCACAGGGTGGGGCAGACTTACAATGTCGGCACAAAGGCTGCGAAGGTGGGAGTCCCGCTTCTCCCTGGCCCTTCCTTCATCTTGTTCTTTTCCCCTTTTTAAGGTTTTTGCCAAAGGACATAAATGCTCACCAGAGAGGAGACAGAGAGAAAGTAAGAAGAAATCACCCTCCCCCCAGGGCGTGGCCACACTGCAATCCCCTTTTTTCCATTCTACTCTTGGAATTTGGGGCATGCACACACAGGTGCAGGTGCCTGATGAGATTTTCAAACTACTGGGTCTGGGACCTGAACTGCCATGTGGGAACCCAGCCACCCTCACCACCATGCCACCTGTTGGCCCTTCATGTTGTTTTTTAATTTCTGTATTTTTAAAATATAATTGTGGAAGTTTATTTGGTGTTTTTTTTTGTTTTTGTTTCATTGGCTACAAGGTCCACTTGCTCACTTGAGACAAAAAGTGAGAATGCACCCCTGGGGGGTGGCCACACCACAATCCCTTCTCCACCATTCTCCCCTGGGGATTTTGGGCACGCATGCACATGCATCCACCATGTTTGAAGCCGCCAAGTCCAGGACTCAAACCACGCTCAACCACATGGAAGTCCAGCGACTTAACCATTCTGCCATCTGCTGGCCTCCTAGTGTCTTTTTCAAGCTACTGGTCTAGACTCAGAACTCTGTCGGCAAAGTGGAATCTACTGCCTTAGCCCCCAGGGAGCCCTAAGTTCTGGATTTCATGATAGCACACACATGTGAGAAAGAAGCCGCTCCCAGACGCTGCCTGTGCCCTAGCCTGTTGCTCTCCAGCCCGGCAGATCTGGGGCAGCCGTGCGCACGCCCAGTGTGCGGCAAGCTGACCAGGGGGTCGGATTTATTACCTCCAACTCTGAGCCAGCCCTCCTGCACCTGTTTTCACTGAAATGACTCATCAAGCCATGGGCAGAATTTACAGTACAGAAAAAAAGGAACCCTGAAGCGATCTCCGAAATAAGACACAGGACACAGTGTTTCAAAACGTGGGTACTGTTTACTTTCAGCCACAGTCAGGGTGGGGGGTACAACACACATTGTAGGGAGGGGACGTTCAGTTCAGGGTCAAGCACCAGCATCATGCACACAGCATCAAGTTATTTAATAAGAACAATGCCCCGTGGGATGCGTCCCTGGATGGAGACCGAGACCCGCTCGTACGGGGTCGACTCCCCCACTTGCTTCCGCACTGTCAGTTCCAGCCGGTTTGATTGCACATCCGAAGCCTTCCCCTGCACGAACGCAGTGGGCTTTGCACGTCGGCCGGCCAGCCACCTTAGCATCTGACTCACTTCTCACGGTTACAAAAGAAAAGGCAGTTTCGTTGTTTGCAGGCAGCAAGGCAGGAGGTGCAAGCCTCCCTGTTGTTCGTGCGGCACAGAGAGATGCTCTGAGCAAGGGCATTGGTGAGTCAGGGCGACACCGAGAAGGCTCTGCAGAGAAGCCTTGCGAGGCGGGGGCCCGGCAGGAACGGCGCCTGCGGTCTGTCCAGGCAGGCGTGGTCAACCCAAGCGCGTGTGTTAAAAACCTCGGTACAAAAGATCCTCTAACACATTTAGAACCAGGTTACCTGTTCTGAAAAACACGGTACTAAGTGTCACAAAGCTTCCCTCCCATCTACTACTAGAAAACACTCATGCCATGGCCCACGGACCCGGAGGAGTCAGGACAGACACAGAGAGATCTGTTCTTCGACTAGAAAAAAGGGGAAGAGAAAAAAGGGGGGAAAAAAAGACAGCAGTACATAAAGTGCTTCTTTTTTAATGAAACAAATCCAAAAGATGTACAGTCAGGCTCAAGTTGTGCAGTTCACAAGCATGGCGAGAACGAACAAACAAAACGACAGAGTTCGGGCGGCCAGAGTTAGCCCAAGACGAGGCTGGACTTGCCGCCGGGCGGGTTTCTCCTGGACGGCACGGGCGCCGCGGCCACGGGGCTGGGCACGGGCGCGGCGGGCACGGGCTTCTCCTCACTCTGCCCCAGGCTGGATTGCAAGTCTGTGTCCACAGTTTCTAGGAAAACAGAAAGGGAGCAATACTAAGGTTTTTTGTTTTTAAATCTTATTATTACCTTTTAAATTTCACCAGAGAGAGAGAGCGAGCGAGAGGAAAAGTGAGAAAGCAAGCCACCAGGTCTGAGACTCGAACTGTGGTCAGCCCTGTGGGAGTCCAGCACCTTAACCAGTGTGCCAGCTGCTGGCCCCTGGTGTGTTCTTTTCCTTCTTTTTAGATTTTTGCCTTAGAGCATGTGCTTCACCAGAAAGAGAAGGGGGAGGGGCCAGCAGGTGGCACGGTGGGTAACGCGCTGGA